ATATTCAATGTTTCCTTTATTTGAGTGTAGTTATCTTGTGTTCACCAGGTCACAGAGAGTGTATGGAGATTCTGCTGGCAAATAACGTTAACATTGACCAAGAAATACCTCAGCTCGGAACTCCCCTGTATGTTGCCTGCACCTACCAGAGGGTAAACTGTGTGAAGAAACTTCTAGAATTAGGTAATTTCCAGAAATCTTTTCATGAGAAGAAGCTAGTTACCATGTTGGTCTTCCATGGTTTCAAAGATGAAGTTCTTGTCATGATGGGGGAAAAAAAATAGCATTTGATGTTTGAATGCTAAAAGCAGAAGTTTATGAGAAAAATGAGAGATATGCTTCTCATTTCTGTTTCCTTTGATGTTGGCTCCATTTACACAGCGTGGTTCACTCTTGTAATCACAAGATGGCTGCCAGCAATAACTGTGTTTGTAGCCTTCTTATCCATACCCAGCAAGTAAGAACAAATATATTTTTCCCCATAAGTCCTGGTATTGGTTGCAGGGGGTAGGGTGGGGATGTGGATGGTGGTGGTTGGGAGGAGTAGTTGTATTTCATTGGCTCTTCTTGAGTCACTTGCCTATGTTTGAACCAATCATGGTGGCCAAGGGAAGACAATGCACTGGTGCACGTAGGCCTAGATTTCCTTCTACACACACTGCAGTTGGGCTTAACTGCAAGCTCAGGAATGGGAATCCCAAGGGGGTGGTTCTCCAGAGAGATCTGGGTGTGGTTATCAGAACGATACTGGGCAGTGAAAACAACAGATGTTCACCACACTATTGACCTCAATCTTGTTATTTAATGATTTTTCTTTTTTTTTCTAATTCTAAAAGGCATATACAAAAACCGAGAGTCTAGTGAAAATGTTTTGAATACAATGTTTTGAAATTATTACTTGGTTAAAGAATCCTCAAGCTTAGCCACTGACATAAAGGTGTTGTTGTTGTTGTTGTGTGCCGTCGAGTCGGCCCCGACTCATAGCGACCCCTCCTTGGGTTTCCAAGGCAGTATCACTACGGAAGTAGGATTG